AAGAGAAGAGGAACAATTTGTTGGCTAACTTTAATGACCGACATCAAGTGCTTCGATCGCGCGTTGTGGAACTAAAGGCTTGGAGGGAAGAAGCGTTGCACGCGAGATGCCAAGCTGACGCATAAATATGATGTAACGGGGTGAGCCTTACATAAAAATTGATATCTTTATATCGATTCTTGAACATTATTTATTTATATACCGTTCAAGGGACATTACTCGTAAGGAGTAAGGTTGAAGGAATACCACCCCATAGGATATTTTTATTTGATGGGTTGCTTCAACTGGTGGTTGATGTTCACGTTACATCAACCAGGTTGACCACCAATAGCTGGTGGACGCGCGCAATGGGTGGTGAGCAAGAACCCCACAGATGAGATTGTAGTTTAATATAGTTAGCTCAAGAAAAAGATGATTTTTTATAAAGAAAACCTAATTATATTAAATACAGATCAACTTTTCCCCTTAAATAGAGCTTTCGACTTCTGCCTACTTCGCTGCGCTTCCTCAAGCCACGTGTACGTGACGTCGGATGCACACAATCTTGTGTCGAATTGACACAAGGTGTGCCCCGTTACAAAGGATGGGCACACACTTCAGTTTCGAAGCTGCTGCACGACTCGGATCTGGAGTGAGGAAGACGCGCGGCTTATTGAATCCTATGCGTGACAAGGCTTCAGCGACGCCCCGTATTTCGCCGACCCAATTTCTGATCAACTGCATCCATTCATTCACTCGTTTTGCGTCTTGCGTCAAGATGATCTACATGTTTTTTGCCACCCGTCTTACTAATGGTCTTTTGTTGAACCACGAGAACGTCTTCTTGTACCTGTATTGTATTACATATATTGCATATTAGGGACAGAACCCACTGTTGCATCACAAGTTTTCAAGATCAAATTGAACTCACCTGAATTGAAGCGGATTTTGCATGTGAAAACCAAAGCTTTGATTACTACGGCTTTGAATTAGTTTTCATTCTTCATCTCTGTTGGCTTCGATCTCTAGTCCTGATGTGGTCGACCGCCATGTGCCTCACGTGGTCGTCCGGGAATTTACGCAAGCACCCGCGAGGAAGCGGTTTTTTGGCGTCCAACGTTCTCGATAGAGGCGTCTATCTACACCATCAACTTCCATAGCACTGTTTTACAAAGCGGTCGCACAACACGGTGCATTCATTGTAAGACCTGCACGGACGGACATTAGTCCGCTCGCACAACGGCAGTGGGGTCCACTATCATCAAGATAAGCACACCTAGTGAAGTGCGCAGGAGGTAACAGAGTGTCATAGTCTACCGATAAAGTTTGCGGCGATCGATTCGATACGCTACTGCACGTGAGCCAATGTTGAAAAGGTCTGGTCACGATCGGCACTAGCGTCGTATACGAACAAGGAAACAAAGCGATATGGGTCAATGCACAATTTATTATAAAAACGAAAAAAAAGGAAAGAAGAAACATTGCTTTCGATGCAGGTGACGACGAAGCGAGCCAACCCATGACTTAGCAGGTGTCAGTGGGCCTTTATGCCGGTTCTTGGGCCTTCTTCCACGCAAGGTATTGGTCTATATGGTCCTGAAGGTAGTCGGCGCGCACCTTTGAACCTTCTTTCCGCAAGTTCGCAATTACGTCAGGAAGCACGACATCCGGCCCATGGCCGTCTTCAAGGGCACTTTTGAACCCCTGTTCAATCATATCCTTAGCCGCGGACTTCGACTTCGGTAATTTTTGCGCCAGTTGAAGAAAAACTTTCGTATCAAGAAGGATCGAGCCACGGATTACCGAATCCAGATGGTCGCGCATGTCCGGGACATCTTGGTCGTTCAAGTGAAGATTCCCGAGCTCCCTTACCATCGATTTAAGTTTCGTTAACTCTAGACGCTGCACCTCATCGACAAGTTGAGAGTACTTGACAACGTCGACATCGGACAACTCCCTTATTATGGCACTCACCTTTCCCTCACTCGCGCCATTGAATTTCTCTACTTGAGCTGCTGTCAAAGCAGAAGTTCCAAACGAAAACATCCTCTCCTCTCGATTGTCGGCGGCAGCGTGTCGTCTCAGTAGATGTTTAGGCTCGTCGACTTCGTACCCCGCACCGAGCGCGACGGTCTTTGTTTGGCCGAGGCCTGAAGCGTGGTCAGCATTGTCGAGCAGCGCACCGCAGATCAGGACCGCACGGAGATATGAGAACCGCATGGCAGGACGTCGGAGGTGAAGGGGGAGGGGGAAGGACTCTTGGCGGTGGATAGCAGATTGAATAATGAACAAACAAAGTGAGTGGAAATTCGACCACCCGACGAAGTAGAGACATTTCGTTTGAAATGAGTGGCAGCCCGGCCAAGCAGAGACATTCTGTTCTGTGGCTGCAGGAGCGACTTCCCATCGGCAGATTACGGTCGGACGGCGTCCAGACCAGTTGGCGTCATCATAGTAAATTGTGTCAGGCATCCGGATCAGCATGATGGGCAAATATCGCGGGCGAGTAAAGCCGCTGCGGAACACCTGTGCGGTGGCTGCTACTGTGCGGCTCGTGTATTCAAATATTCGGACGAGAAATGCCGAGGCAGCGGTTCTCGTGCGACCGTGCATCAAGGACGGCAGCTCGTCTTTGCAATCCATCACATCGCACAGTATTTTCGGGCACATGCAGTCCAATGCTTGGATCTCGCTTTAACGACCGCCAGGCACGGCTTAAAGCCACTTGTTGCGACTCGTGTCACGCGCGCGCTGTAGGATGCCTCACGATGACAGCTCGTCTCAGAACATCTGACGTTTTTGAGACTTCCTGTAGGAATGGAGACCTCATATAGTATCGGGACAGACGGCGGCAGTTTTGCGCCGACGCACCAACGAACTGGTCATGGACCGTCGATCCGTCGGGCAAATTGTAGGAGCACGTCTGCTCCCACGCTTCACACATTCCAGCGCACTAGTGCCGTCTCGATCAAGCATCAAAGACCAGTGCGTGAGACACTATCGATCGCAAGCCACTCTGGTCAAGAGAAAGCCTCTGCGGGCCTGCGGTGTAAAGCTGCTACAATTGTATACGCACACCCTGTGCGTCGGGAGTAAACCAGCAGCAATCACAGGTGTGCGACAGCTGGACTTATCGCATCTGCAAGTTGCAGACTGACCCTTGTCCAGCAACGAGAGCGACATCCGACCACAAACCACACAGTAGCAAAATTGTTGGGGATCAAATGGCCCGACAAAGAGATAGTGCACTGCGAAAATTCCCTGGGAACGGTCGCGGAAGACACCAGCGACAGGGTCACTGTCGATGTGAGCTGTCGCACCTTCCGCAAAGCGCACGACTGCATGGATCAGTTCTTCACGTCACCTGCGGCCTTGCGACCTTCAAGTGATCCAGCGACCAGGGCACGACTTACCGAAGCAGTACGAATCGAGAAACCATACCGTTTTCGAGAAGAGTGTGTCACAAACGAAGCCAACAGCAGGGCATTTGTGCTGCCAGATTGTGACAGCAGGAACCGAATGAACGTTGCGCGAACAGAGTTATCCACCTGATTAGCTGCTAGACTGTAGGCACATGCAGCCTAAATGTCCGACGGCATGTCAACTACAGTGTGCCCAGCTATAAAGGTAGAATTTCCCAATTTGCGCCTTCGGACAATAACGTCCAGGCAACGAAGGCGTCTAACAAAGCCGGACAACCTGTCCCCTTTCTCTGTGCGGGAAGTCCCCTACAGTAGGGTACTGTTCAAAAGGGGGAGGCCTTTCCGCCGCTGCTTGCGCTACGGGAGGCAGCGCGGCGTGCAAACCGAAAAAGGATCGCAACAATAAAGACATCCCGGGGTGAGGGGGACGCCGTCAGCGGTCGTCCGCTCACCTAGTTTCTGCTAGTTTAGGTCAGATTCAAGCTGCCGGCCCGGTCGCCGCGCAAGATTCCCGGTCCCACGGAGGGTACTTGCCTAGAACGTGATTTGGTCGGCCCCATTCCGGTGCGTCAGTGGCCATCGGGGGAAATAGGAGTGGTACCCGGCGTTTCCCGCGACTTCAGCGCCCTGTCTGCACCCCAAACTAGAGACCAAATTCCACGTGTCCTCTGCGGAGTGTACCCCTGATGCTTAAAGGATGAAGCCAACAGTCTGAGCCATCGAGGAGGAGGACGAGGTAGCCCAGGTAGATCTGCGCACGGATATCGTACAGGAAGGGCTAAGCACTTAATCGACGTTCAGGTTGTATTCGTACCACGACGTGTTGTCCCATCTGTAACCGTTAGCCTATCAGGTGACGTCGCAACTTCCCTGCAACAGGTCGTGTAGTTGAACCTCAGAACTCCGATGACCGGTCAGGAACGATATCTACCAACATCAAGCGTCGACGTATGCTGGATCACGGCATTTACCGGCAGTCAACTCCAACTCATCTGCCGAGCCCAGTTGTAACGGGGCACACCCTTGCGTAACTTAACGCAAGGATTTTGGGTGCCCCGACGGACGTACACGTGGCGAGCAAGGAAGCGTAGGTAGGGTAAAAGTAGAACTGTTATATTAATAAATTAAGTCTTTAAACTACTGTCTCTTCGTTTGACTTAATTCAATTATACTAATATAACTGCATGTATGGTGACGTCTCGTCACCACTCATTGCGCGCGTCTTGCGGCGATTGGTGGGTTGATATCATCACGATATCAACCAATGAACAGACCTTTTGGTCGACCCTTCAATATCACCACTTTGGTGATATTGTTTAAAGAATATCCATCTTTATATTCTTTATTGTCACTTTCCTTAAAGTGACAATTTCATGTAACGGGCTGCCCCGTTACATCACCCCCCTTAACTGATAGTCACCGTGTGACTATCGAAATATGGAGGCCACCCGTTGGCCACCATTGGGACAGGGAGCACTTGTTTGGTCCGTTCCACTCACTTTCCGCTTGACCTCGCATAGTTAACATGTCTATGCGAGGTGACTCAAGACCCACACAGCCTGGTGCTGTGCAAGCCTCTGCGGCAGACGCTTCGTCGTCTGCCGCCCCTTCTTCGCCTGCAGCAACAGGTGCTGCAGGTGCACGCGGTATCACGCCGCGTGCGCACGATGACCCCGATGTGGAGGTCATCTACTCTGGCGAGTCAGACGTGTCTGACTCGGGCAATGCTCCAGAGGCGTCTCGCTCACCGGCGACGCCTCAGTATTCGCCAAGACCACTGCCGAACGAACGGACTCGTGATTTGCATCACAGTCTGTTCGGCAGTGATGATGATGATGATCAGGGTGGTGAGTTCTATTCTTCACCACCGCCGGCTCGTGCGTCTTCGCACGAGCGTGATGACGATGGCGCGAGCCGTCGTCAATCTGGGAGCCGTGGTACCGACAAGGGTACCACTTTGAAGCGTGATGAGTTGAAGCCGTGGCGTTTTCCCGAACAACTCATCAAAAGCCTGTCTCACGGGACAGGCCAACACCATCGAATACCCTTATTCGATGCAACCGAGCTTCACGGCTTGAGCTCCAGCGCGAAGAACTTTCGCGCTGAAGAAGATAATTATCTCGATGTCTTCCTTAGACATCGATGGTACAACAGCAACCAAAAGCGTGACAAAACATCGCTTTTGGCTGCGTGGAACGCGTTTGTCCAAAACGTCAAGAATTTTGGACGAGAAGGGTGGCTCAAGAAACTTGAGGCAACACGCCTCAGGTTCGAACGGCGAACGTCAACCGGTGCTAGGTACCGGTTGCATTGTTTGTCTAGTGAGGCAGGCATTCCTTGCCTCACATGGGGAGACCCTTGTGCGAGTTGTACTGACAACTCGCAGCGTGCACATAGGGATGTGTACTCCCTAAATTCGCCCTGAGGAAGGGCACACATCTCGGCTGAGATGAGTGACGCGATTGCAAACTTGCAATCCGTCTACAAGCGCCTAGGGCGCGTGTTTACCGATGGGCCACAGGACTCATCGGATGGGTCTCGTCATACTGGCGGACGAGACCTTCAACATCCATCAACAGCTGAGAGCGGGGCTCCCAGCTGTTCCAAGAGGGTGGATACCCCCGCCACTGGACGAGGTAGCTCGTCCTTGATTCTGAATCGTCACGGTGATTCAAGATACGCTCCACTAGAAAGCGTTGATCACCGTGAGCATCCACCAAAGGATGTGGTGGAGGAGGAAAGACCTCCTCCAGATGATTCGGTTCACCATCTCGACCCTTACGAGATGGATCGCGCAATCGATGAATTGCGCGATGACTTGAAGCACGAGCGCGATCGGCGCTACGCTTTGACCGATACCGTGCGGAAGAACCGCAAGGGTCACGAGGCTGATGGGGCGAGGGATCGCGCCGATTATGCCACGGCGCAGCTTCAGGTCGAGCGGGATGTCCGCTCCCTTTTCGGCGAGCTGGCGACAGCTCGCGGAGAGATAACTCGGTTAAATACCGAGGTATCATATCTGCGCGACCAGACGGATCGTCTGGAGCGCGAACGCAAGAACTTGATGGATGTTCTTGAACGTGGGGGCTATCTTCATCGGAAGAAGAAGGCTCGTACTGACAGTACGACCTAAGCCTCCCCACGTAAAACGTAGGATGCGTGCGCATCCTACGTGGCAATTCGAGTGTGTATGCATTGCCCTTGCGATGCAACACTCGAAATGGCCCAATGTATTTCGGCAGTAGTTTACTACTGCCGACATTAGTGACTACATGTCCAGGTAAGTTTACCGTAGACAGTAGTACTAGGTCGTTAACCTTAAATGAAAGAACATTTGCTCTTCCATTCTTGTCTGCGTTCCGTTTCTGACGGTCCACCGCATTTGCGATGGAGTCCTGAACGAAACAGACTACCGCTTCTCGAGTCAGCAGGAAGTTCTCTGCTGACTCTTTGTTTTGTCTGGCAGTGCGCTTCGTGCGCACTGCTAAGAGATTGCTCTCTTCTTCAGCGAGGTTGTCTTCTTCCTCGCTGACATAATCGTTGGCGATGCTGAATATACCAGCATCGTCATCATCATCCGAGTCAATAATAGCGTCGTCGCTATTATTGAGATGATCTTCTTCATCGATGTCGACTTGATCGACATCGGCATCATACGTGACGACGTTTGCGTCGACACGTGATGAGCAAGAGCCAAAACGGTTTTTGCTCGAGCGAGTCCCTCCCCCCTTATCCAAGAGTCACACTCTATAAGGGTGGGCACTCGTGGATGGCGTAGGCCATTCACGTAAAACGGTG